TCAAGGGCGGATCCAGGGGGAGGGTCGGGGGGGTCGCGACCCCCCTGTCATTCCTGAGGTCAAATGGGCTTCCTGTGGTAAAAATGCGACTGGGATTTCTTTGCCCACAAAATTTACCCCTGAGACCCTCCCCCTTCAAAAAACCCTGGATCCGCCCTTGAGCCTAGTACGACGAATTGCGCACATAAAAGTGCCGAAAAACTCATAAATGAACATTGCCTCCCCCGACAAATGTAACTGTTCATGACCTTGATGAATAGTTCAACGAATATATAGAACCGCATTGTTCCTAGAAATGAACATTACAAGTTTACCTCAAACTCCACTTCGTTGGTCGAACGAAGGAAGACCATGAGGATGCGCAGTGGTCATCTGTGCATAATGTAATAAAACAGACCGCTGCCCAAGTATGTTGGGTGCGCATGTTTCTGAACTGATGACGTTAAAACCCATTATCGCAAACGCATCGAGATTTTTTCTACCTAACGTGTCCAGCACCTCTTGTTCGTGTATAAACAGGATACCCGTCAAAATTAGTGTTGCTCCTCGCTTCGCTCGCAGCAATTATTACTCTTAATTATTTCCCTTAACATATGATAATCTTTATTTGTTTAACGATAGATGAAGAGATGGAAAGAGAGAGTCTGCGAAAGAAATTCTACTTGATACTTGTGACCCCCTGCTAGTCCAGAACAAAGAAAACTGAGAGAGTGACTAGCAGAGAAAGGGAGAAAGAAACTCAAAATATAAATAACCAAAATATGCACATGACAAAGAAGTAATCCCTACCTTGACATACGTCTTCTCTTGCTTTGTTCCTTCCCCTTGGTCTATAATAGAACTCCTCGCATTCCTCGCAGTTTATTCCACGCGTATGATTCTGAAGAATATATATGATGTACATTAGAGGGTGACAGACTTTACAAAAGTCTAGGATAAGTTCACGTGATCATTTTCCGCCATCTAGAAAGCCAAAAGTAGTTCTATTATTCATTTTAATAGACCATTTTACCTTGGACGTAATGTTTTTTAAATTCGGACCGTGTCATTCTCTAGCCAGAGTATTATTTCATTGTTAGAAAAGTGGTGCATGAGAAGACACATGACCTCAAACAAATATGTTACAAACAAATATGGGAAAACTCCTTACGCCCAAGGTAAAGAGATCTATTTGCAACTAGTATCTTAAGAAACACATACCTTACAATCTAGACAAACGCCGCCTCCGCTTTTGTTACCATGGATGTCAAGACTCATACCTAAGTCATTCACAGTCTGGTTGTAGACGCATGCATCAGAGTGATTGTGACAATTGCAAGCTGCGACAAGAACGAGGAGGCCATGTTACAAGTTGAAAATCAGTTTAGCTGAAACTTACGTGCAACGGTGTTGCGAGACAAGTTTTACGGGGGTGTTACGGCGAAATTTAAGCTTGGTGAGAAAGTTTCACGAAAGGAAGTTGTGCCGTGAAACTTGCCTCACAATGCCGTTGCGCACAACTAAAAGAGAATAGAATAGCGACTTTGTCGGAGTATTGGATATGTGTGGGATGGCACAGTAACTTGTATCAATGATAAATCATTGGCCCTCTAAAGCATTGAAGAACTTAGTCGGGTTTTCTTTTTTCACGTCTCTAAATGAAAATTGGTCGTCGCTTTACGTAGTTATCCAAACCAAGGGTCTGATCATGATATATATGACACCAGGCCACGGAAGTTTTTGTTTAAAAAAGCGCATATGCTGCTTACTCAACCTAGTGTTTTAAAATATAAAAGACTTACGTTCACAAGAAACTCCAGGGTCAACTTCCCATGGCGCTTTGCCGCCCTTTGTCCAAGGTTTCTGATTGTACAGCGGACAACACATTTCACAGTTATCACCGCATGTGTTTCCTTGACACTGGCACGCCCTCTTCTTAGTTATCTCATCTTGAGGGCAAATGTTACCATTAGCGTGTCCGTTACAGTTACAACGAGCAAGGACCTCGATCTCACGCACCGCATAATGATGCTTGTCGAGAGAATAAAACAATAGAATTAAAAACAAGTCCATAATAACATTAAAACCGATGGTTTTGGTGCATCAATTATATCCCTGGAATTTAACATCCCTTAATAATGATAATAACAATCATGAATTATTTCATAGCGCCTTATACTTAACAAGAAATACTTCTAAATAAAGTGTCTATCTGTATATCGACTGAGACTTCCCAGATCTTTCTAAAATGACTAAAATCCCAGAGTAAAGCCTGAGAAAGAACAGTATTTTTGATATCCTGTGTATGTTTTTATATTGAAGTTCAGAGATTTTGGGTAGTCAAAAATGTAATCGCAAAGTGAAATATAGTATATAATCATTTTGTATTTTCTATGCATCCAGCCGTATTTTTGGAATTTGAAAAGTCGCCTGTGAATGACCAACAAAAGAAAGAAAGAGAAAATGAAAACACAGGGAGCCCAAGCTTGGTTTTGGTGTCAATAGTCTGGTGTTTGCTATGGTTATTAGGCGGAGCGATGATTAGTAGCTAGTCTAATTTCCCCAAGGGAGGGGCATGGGGGCTGATAATTTCCTTTCGTCCCTCACTCCCTCCCCTGACACACCACAAAAACCAATCTTGGGTTTCCTGTGATGAAAAATGGAAACTTTAGTGTATAAGTGCAAAACTCCTGCTTCAATCTATTCATGTTGTAAAGAGGCTAAAAAAACTATCTATAGTTGCATATTAAAAACTTTTTTGCAGCATGATGGAATTAACTATGGAGAAAAACGTTAAGGCATATTTACTTACAAATTTGTAAGACCATTTGTCCAGTACCAGGTGCATTTTAGAAAACGTAAAACGGAGATTGGTAATATTGAGCCAAGCCTGTTGGTGAAAAATGGCCACAATCAAAAATATATTATGTAATAAGTGTGAATATTCTTCACCTTATTCACACCAGTGAAGGGCCCTTGAACAGAGTTAGTTTTAAACGCAGATTTTTTAATTAAAATAGAGGCCTTGCACTAACACGTGCCGGCGCCCATAATACAGCTTGGGCTGCCTGTGGTTAGATGGCAGAACAACAAAAATTCCTTTGCTCTCGGGAATTGAATTCTTTCTCGCGTAAAACGATTGCATTGTTCCTGCCATCTAACAAGGCTGCCGTTACGTGATGGTGCAAATACTATATATTGCGACCGGCACTTAGTAATAAAAGTTGCACTGGCCCCCTCCCCTTTAGCCTGAAACTCAGTTTACAGTTGCAAAGGTCGGATAATGCTGTGCCTAGATGATAGACCTTTCCGTTTCCTTTCCTTCTAAGTCCATGTGTTTTTCTGGTATGTTTATATTCTCATTTAATGTTTCTTACCAAAAGTTCTGGTGAATGTGAATTGGGTGTGCCATCTCCTCGTAGACGACCATTCAATTCAACGGTTACCTTAAAAATCCAAGATTGCCAAATTAAACTCATGCATATGCATACTGCAGTATGTTTACATTGACATATCCCTGCACTCCCTGTCCTGCGTAATAGCTATAATTATGCAAGGTTTATTACGCAAGGTAATTGAGAAAAACTAACCAGCTTATTTAAGCAGAAAAAATGTTAACATATCTGAATCGATAACATTTTGAAAACTAAGGTGTCACCCTCTGAAACTCAGTATTGACTTAGCTTCCAGGAAAGGCTCCAGGCCACCAAAAAAAGGACGTTGGTAAGAAAAGGTTGTAACGGTAACACAATAACTAATGATTTTATAAATTCTATATTTTTGCAATAGGACGTTTGCATGATGGCGTCATTTGACTCCCACTACCATAATGCTTGGCGAATTTTCTTTCTTATTCAAATTTGTATTCCCTCATGAGAATAGTAAAACAATTGTTGCTGATTAACTGAACAAAAGAAAGTGTGCAAGGGAGTCTGGTAGTAGAGGTCAATGACGCCATCATGCAAACGTCCTATTGTGGATATAGGTTTTTTTTTCGCTGCTCAATTTTCACACGACACCTTAGTTTTGTAGTGATGTCATTTCTACTTCACTATTTCAGATCATTTAGAATTTAACTGAAGGAAATCTTCTCAGCACAGCTTCTCGGGATAGCATGAATCAAATGTGATGATAAGATGACAATAACGGATGACAATAATCGCACGATTGCAGTATTCTGCTTACATACAAACTTTTGCTTACATTTTTAGAATGAAGAAAGGGGGTTATATTAGAGTGATTTTCCTTTGCCCGTGGAAAGAATAGTCAACGTGATACATAGTGCTAGACACAAATCACAATGTGTTGTATTGTTTTACTTTGCTTATACAATTCAGTTTGTTTCACAGGCCAAGAAAAATTACCCTAAGGACGTAAAGTATGATATACATTGCCATACTGACAACTAGACAAATTAAAATGAATGCTACAGGTAAGAAAAGAGGGTTCCTTCGTTTTTCGTCATACCGTTTCATTATATTCCAGTGCATCGTATAGATCATAATGCTGGCACAGCACACGATCAACTCTATCAATAGGGGTGCCTTTCGAGTAATGATCCATGTTAAAAACTGACTTGCACTCTATTGTTTCAGGATGCGATACAAGGTAGTGATAGGGATGGAAGGTGGCACCGAAGTCATTCGACCTGGAAATTGCGATAGCACCTGGACGTTGATGGTCACCAAATGTAAATTTTATTTGGTAAGCGAAAAACATCTGGAAATAAAAAAAGTATCATCCGACTGTTAAAAAATAGGTAGGTACGTGTATCAGGCTGCGATCAGTGACAGCAAAATTACAAAACGATATCAGACAATTCCTGTCTATTTGCTAGCCAATTAACCAAATTCCTCCAGTTTTCCGTGGTATGTTCTCTTATTTACCACGATTTTCGTCATCAAGCCGTCAAAATGTTGTGGCCACTACTCGGCCTACTCGGCCACTCCTCGCTACGCTTGATGACGAAAATCGTGGTAAATAAGGACATACCACGGAAAACTGGAGGAAATTGTTTTTTATCGTAGAAAATTAAGAGGAAATTTTTAATGAGCAATAATGGCAAAAAGCGCCACTAGACATTCGTATGAGTTTTGATCGCAATTTTCGTTTTGGGTTAACACTCAAAACCTTTTTAAACAGTTAGAAACTGATGCACTATGATAAAATGCCTTTTTGAAGCGGTATTTTCAATTGTACAAAGACGTTTTGTTGCATTTGTGTTAGAATGTTGCTTTGTCAGGCTTTTTTTATAGAAAATACATTGGAAATAACCAAATGAAGTCCTAAACCTGACTTCGAATAAAGTATTTGCTTTGGGTTAACACTTCGATTCCACTTTCATCGGTCATCTCCACTGCCAAACAATTTAAACTTTCTGATTTTAGCCTTGTACAACAAGATTTTAGCCTCGTACAACAGCCTTTCTTCAAAAAAAAAAAGTTTTTGGCACTCGCTGCTTGAATACGAACAGAATTCTCTCTTAACAGTTTTTCTACGAAAACAAGGGTAAAATTTAAAATAAAAATGGTTTCAAGCGCGCGCGTGATTTACTGACGTAATTTATACTTCCCCAACTCTAGACCAATCAGAAAGGGAGAAAATTCACTTAATAAAACGTTTTTTACCCGCACAAAATGATCCTTTTTTATACGCAATACTGACGTTGCGAGTAATATTAGCCATTCACCAAGGTTGAGGAATAACTCACTGAGTCGATATGGCTTTATGGTTTTAGAACAAAATAAAAAATATATTGGAGATGTTCCCTAAAACAGTCTTACGATACACAAAAATGCCAACTCTAACCAGTTTATTCCCTGAACTCTGAAACTCTATTTTACCAATTTGAGCTCGGTTCTAAAATTGTTCACGAACTGCCGAAGGCTTTTTATGGCGTTTAAAATGATTCTCTTTTTGTTCTACTTATTGCAATAGAAATTCAATTTTTCCGAACATATCTGTACAAACTCGAGTGGTATTGTATAGATGCATGGGTTTGCCTATAATCTTTCGATAAACAAGTGGAGTCTGACAGTCAAAGTACGCAGAATTTCCAACATTTATGGGTGCCGTACAAAATTGCTGTAATCTAAGCTGGGAAGGGATGTGGACTTTTTTTCATTTTGTAAGTGTTCATGCATCAATACCAGTCGTATTGCTTGCGTTTTGCAATTCAATTACTGAGTATAGTCCACCGATTCTGAATTGCTAAAATCACTAAAACAGATTCATAGATAACGATGGCAATGGGAAAAGAAAAAAGGTTAAAGCTCTTACAGGATGGGATAAAACGGCCCACGGATTAAAGGACTAAATGAAAAACATTGAAAATATGCGCAAATTTTCCTGAAACTTCCATTTTCCCTTTTCATATACTACTTTTTTGATCAATTTTGTCCAAACTAGGCTCAACTTCATATTTCACACTTTTTCCAATATATTAGCATTTAGAACTGAAGTCCATTGTTAGTCAAACCAAATACCTGTTGAAGGTCGATTTCTATGTAAGCCTTGTCTTTTTCAGAAGACGTTCTCGCCGTCGATTGCCAAAAAGTCCCCATTGATCCATCAACCATGTAGTCCGGTGGGTGAGAATAATTTCCATCGTTGGCATCACAGGTATACTCAATCCTTTCCTGTGGAAGTACTGTAGCATCTTGAATCCTGAAATATTTTTCAGAAGGAGAGCCGCAAGATATGTTTGCTGCAATTCGTTTTCTAAACGCTGCATTGAACGGAGTTTGTCCATCAGTAAATAGAACTGTTCCAAAAAGCAGCAGTAGCACCGTAAGAAAGTACTCTTTCATAGTGTGTTAGGAAGTGGTGCCCTAATTGGGCATAAAATTTTCTAACGGCAGTGAATTTCAAAACTTTTTCAGCGGCAGCCTCTACGCTATTTTTAAAGATGCAAAAGCGGTTTTGGCTAAAATTTCAAGAAATATTTAAATACATAAATAATTCATTATCGCGAGAATGCCAAGCCACGCTTGTTCTGAAGGACTTCTTCCATGCTAGCGACCACAAACCAAAGTCCGAAAGAAAAGTCATCTTTGAAGAAACTGGCTTGAAAAATCTACCTAATTACTAAATCAAATCTAGTGCCAAGAGGAAAAGGCATTAACCCTTTGTTCAGCAGCTGATTAGTTTTGCATTTGATCAAAAGCATGGAGCCGGCATTCGCATCAGACATTTTTGTGCTATATGTAAATCCTAATATAAGAAATTGCAATCCAATTAAATGAATTTTTTTTAAACCAAATAAGGTTTTCTTGGAGAATCTTGCTTGTCACTCTTGTAATTCAAAATGTCTGAGAAGAACACATCCAATTCCTGAATGACAAAAATAACTATCAAAGACTTTGGTCAGCAAGTTTACAATTAACTTTTCACACACATGCAGAGCGTGTTTATCCTCCGTTTGAAAAGAAAAACTTTTTTGAGCAGGTTAGCTCATTCTTAGACTCTTCCGTCACTGCAAGGAGTCTACTAGGGGAAAAGTTCATCAACCGTTGTACAGGGTTTCCAACTACTTTTACAAATTATGCAAGCTCCAGCATTCCAAACTGAACAGAGAAATTACTTGCATGCATTGCTTGAAATAGGCAATACAGCAGCCTTTTACATTGCACAAATTAGTTAATKCACTTTAAAATACAGTGTATTAATTTGCAAACACTTACCTTGGCCTGAAATGGAAAAGGACGTTTATAAATTTTTAAAAAATCAAGTATTTTTAATTGAAATTAGTATTTATTTTTTAGAATAATTTATCTTTTTACTTATGTTCCCCAAAAAGCAACTACCGAAGCAGCAAGCAAAATGAAAGCTAGATGGTACATAATATGCAATGATATACACTGCCTTCATGGTACACATACAGTGCTACAATCTACCAGTAATCAGGCCACTCAAACTGTGATTGGTTCCCTGGTCATCACATGTTCAACAGAAGACGGTTCTTGAAAATGGTCACTTCTGCCACATCCAATGGTTAAAATGAAACTGCAAAGAATATCATATCCTATTATTAAATCCCTATTATATTGTACTTTCCCTATTCGGCAAAATCTCGTCATCAATCAATGTCCTCGACGCTGATCGCTACAAATATATAGAATGGACTATATGCTCAAATTCTGCAAATTTTAATGGCTTTATTCATTGACAATAGACTTGCATTTAGGAAGGTTTCTAATGCCTACGAAAAGCAAAATAACATCCTAAAACTAGAAATCGTCTCGTGGTGATATAAAAACATCTTGACCTGAAGTTTTTCCAGATAATTACTTCAATGCTATAGGTTTTAAAGAGCTACTTGGTAACGCAATTTAGTTGTCACGCGATTTGCACAAACTGAACAGCAAAGGATAATTATGCACCTGAACGATTTCAAAACACTGATGACATGAGGAGAAAAAATGGCAGAATAAAAACTTGTCTTTACAGAGAAGCTTTATCTATTACAATTGACATAAACTTTTTAAATATTTGACATTGAAGAAATACAGAAAGAACATGAAATGTAAATAGAGGAAAATTGACAGAAGAGTTCGCCTTATCGAGTTTATGACTGGAGTAAATGTAAATTTAGAAATGTTCATATTGATTGTTCAAACATTTAAAAAAATTCCCCAAATAGATAAAGATCGAAGGCTTTAGATATCCATGCATAGCATGGGATCGTAAGTGTTATACAGAATGTTGAACTGGCTTGGGTAGGATAAAGGTTCAGATTACAATAACCACTATTTGGTGGATATATATAACACTCCAAAACCCTTAACTCATTAGACATTGTAGGTTTATAGTTATGTTATTAAATATTAACAGCCCAAACCATCAACCTGCCGTGGAACCTGCATGTTTTAACAATGACAGAAAGCATGATATCAGTTCATAAAACTCGAAAAAAATCCCTAACAACCTTGAAATTTCACTACAAAACTAGATTTGTTTAAGTTATCATGCAAATGCGGTATTGGTAGACATTCTGATGACCATTTAAAGTTATTTTGAAGTGGCGAATTGTTATATTTATCACCGATGTAAGTTAATTGTTTATAAACAAGGCCAGCGGATGCACCCAAATCCCGCCAACCGACGCTACATTTAGTGCGCAAGAACTCTGCGCACCTTCATTACAGCTGAGTCTATTAAGCAGCAAAGATGTCGGACGAGGAAGTGCGAGGTTATAGCTCGATATTTCTTAAATTTCTTAATATTTTCATTTCAATATCCTTACTTGTTCTAACTTTAATGTCTAGGAGTAAGTTCGGCGTCTTGATTCGTGTTTTTAAACTTTTCAGATGTCGACTCATCAAGTGGGAAAAAGCGTTTCTTCAGCTTGAAGAGAAAGAAGGGCGGTCGTGGTGGTAGGAAACCGAATAAGTCAATATCCATGCCACATCTTTTTGATCTACGAATGTTTTCAAACGGTACACAAAGCAAGCATACTGATAATACTGTTACTTTTTCTCAATCAGCTAAAGGAACGTCTGCTGAGCCTGGAGCTTTGCAATCGACTTCTCAACCTGCAAGCGAAGCAGGTTCGGTAGTTGAATGCACGGCAACTGATGTTTCTCCCGGGTCAACGGTAAGAATTATATCGTTTATACAAATTCACCTTCATCGTACACTTAAAAGTAATTTAATGCTCATATGTGAAGTGCTAGAATGCAAGCGAACTTGAAATGAGTCTACAGAGGGCGAGCGACGTCGTATAATCAGACAACGACAACATGTAAACAGACTTTTGAATTACGTCCCAAGTCAAAACTCCCAAGGGTTTTCCCTACAAACTTGAAGAGCGTATTTTTATTGTAAGTCATAATTGTTTTGCAGGCTGGCGAAGTTGCCAAAGCCGGAAAATGCGCTTTCTTCGCTCTTGATGTAGAGCTGAAGGAGGGCAAGGACTTGGCTGCTCGGGATAAAACAGGTATATGCATGATAACATACGTAAAAATATATACCTTTTTTTTATTATTATTTACTCTATAACTCGTAAATTTTCGTGTTTGATGTATCTAAACCATAAAACATATAAAATTTGTTACTTGTGTAGTATAAATGATTTCTATGTTATAATTTAAGAAAATAAATAACTTAACATATTATTTTAAAGCGAACAACATTAAATAACCCAAGTTTAACATTATAACCTCCGTTAATTAAAAACATATAAATAGATGCACTTTAGAAAAAGCCAACCCAACGCTAAAAAGTAGACCACTTGTTGCACCAAACATAAGCTTGTAAACAACGTTGAATTAACGAAAATCCTACTGCATAATTTATTGCATTTGAAAGTCAAGCTAAAGTTACATGCCTTATGCTATATTTCAACTACTAAATGATATGTGCATTTTTTAACTAATATCTTGCAGCTCACTTAAATTTTATTTTATGTATTGCTAAACTAAATCTTATAATTCCAACTTGATAAATTGAGCTTGTTCTTGCACTAAATAAAAAATAATATATGTTAGGAATATTATAATTTTTAGTGGAAATATTATTTCCCATGAAAACGGTCACATAAATGTTAGTAAAACATATATTATTAGAGTTTGTCTTTGCCCAAGTCACATGTTATGAAATAATATTAGTTTTACACTAAAGGAAGGAGAATTCCTAGAAATAGGACTAGAATATTCAAAACATAATCAAATAATAACTGATAATATATTTATCTATGGCATTTTATTGGCTATGAAGTCAAAGCTGTCATATAAACATCTTAAATGAGCAGGTTCTTGCAGGTGACTCAAAATGCTTAGCAACAAATTGGGTGGAACCATAAATTTCATCTAAAAAGGGAACGACTCAAAAATAACAAAATTCTAAAATATTAAATTATATAATATATATTATACAATGTATACAATGTATAAATGCTATGTTTTGCAAAAAGTAAAAATGTAGAGCACATTTTATTTGAGTTTATTTTTTTAATTTTACTCTCAAATATAAAAACATTTATTCACTATTTACTGTTTATGAATTTAAAATTTACTTCATGAAAATAACTATGCCTGCATTTTAAGAATTTGTTTACAAAGTAAATCTAATGAAATCTAATGGAATCTGAAAATATTATATTTAATGTATATTTTACTTTGCAGTCAATATTTTATGCTAGAGTACTCTCACTAAACCTGTGAAAGAAATATTAATTTTTAGTACTAAATAGTGATAATCTAACAATAGGAAAGAAAGGATTCTGTATGAATTATTACTAATTAGTACTAAATATTAATCACGGGTTTAGAGCGTGTACTCTACTTTTTTATATTTGTGTTTCTTAACTTTTCATTTATTCATCTTCTCTTTTTACTTTTAATATTACTAAACATTTCATGAGATTTTAAATCATAACAGGACCTGATCTGCAGTTGGTAAGACTGTATAAAGGATTCAATAATAAATCTTAAATCATAATAAACATTTTAATTCTAAAAATCCAGGTAACAAATTATTGACAAAAATAATTAATTTTTTTCATTATCAGTTTATTATTAAAGACCAAGATTTTGAAAAAAATTTTTGCAGGATGTAAAATATTGTTTTGTTGTACTCCTTTGAAGATGGAATATGATAAAGGTGCTAAAAATAATATGTACATATACCAAGTCACAGATAATTTGAAATGCAAAATAATAAATAAGAGAAAAAACAAAACAATATTTAACATCTGTGGCATGGATAATAAATGCTAACACTTTTAATATAAACTTATTTGGTAACAGACACCTACCATGTGGAATTTGAAGATGATGGGGTATATCTTAAAAATATCCAACGTTCAGGTTTGATAAACTTAAACTTAAAAGAAAAAAAACAACTGATACAAAATACTTTAACCATAAACAATAAATACTAAACAAATAAAATATTCGAATTTTTAAAATTTTAAACCTATTTGATTAAAAGTTTTTTAAAATATTTCAACTGATTTAAAAATAAAAATAAATAAATTACCAATTAGCGTTTCTTTTTGTAATTATAAAATGTTTCAAAATAAATACCTAATGCCTTTATTAAATGAATTTGAACTTTTCATAAATTTCCATAAACAATTTTGAAAGTATTAAAATGGTTTAAAAATAAAAATAAAAATAATCTATTTTTTGGTTTTACTTAAAATACAGTGTAAACAAAGTTACGAGACAACATTAAAAGGCCTCATAAAAATGAAATCATAAAATGCTCAGCTCTCTACTTCCAACTCTACTTGTTTATACTGCCATTAATTTCCAAGTCTAAAAAAATAACATTTTCATTACTTACTCTTTTTAGGCACCAGCGATCCTTATGTGAAATTTAAGGCTGATGGACGACAAATTTACAAAAGTCGTACCATCTCAAAAAATCTCAATCCTCAATGGAATGAAAAATTCTGTGTTCCTATTGAGGATATCACAACACCAATGGTTTTGAAGGTGTTTGACTTTGACCGTGTTGGTAATGATGACCCCATGGGCAGAGCAGTTGTAGACCTATCCAATCTGGAAGTTGAAAAGTAAGTACAGGCATGCAAATGTTGTAAGTAACTAGAGCAGTTTTCATTTGACTGTGAAAAGTTCACAGCAGGAGCACGTTGTGACATGGTATGGTATGTGTGTCAGACCAAACATAGTACACAAGAATTTACTCTTCACGCAACCTGAAACAGGGCACAAACACAGAGCATGCAGAGTCATGCCAAGGTAAAAACACTGCCAGGCCAGACACATTGTGCAAAAAAAAAAATCAGTCAATTAAGATCCTAGAAAGTATCAGTCATGGCAAGGCCAGCATACATGTAAGGCACTGAGCTTCTCACAGTCATATGAAAACTGCTCTGACATATATACTGACTTTAGTGTCAACTGGTCTTAATTAATACCTATATACATGTAGAGTACAAACACTAAAAGTGTGCAACACTTTGCACTATTTAGTAGTAAATAGTGCTAATTAAACAATAGAAAACAATAGGATTAGAATAATTTAGCAGTATTTAGTGGTATTTATGTTGCACACTTATAGTGTTTGTACTCTAGTTGCCATACATATTATTTGGCTCATGTTAGTTGATTAAGCAGTGCTTCATCTGTTTGCTCTAGCAATGCATTTGTCCTATAAGATAGTCACTAACAAATAAGACCAGAAAAAGAATATTCTCAGCATGAAAACCTAAGACAATCTGATAAGTGAGTAGTTCAGTAGTTGTGTAGTCTCATAAAGTTATTCTTTTGTCCTAACCTTGCAGACCAACAGAAATGGAATTGGATCTTGAAGGGGAAGATGGTGAAAATCTTGGCAAAGTCCTAGCCATATTCACAGTGTCTCCAAAAAATGTTGAAGACAGGCAAGAGGTAAGTAGTTACATGTATTGTACCACTCATCATTATACCACTGATCATTATACCATGGCCATTGCTTGTTTCTTTAAATTTGTTCTGACTGATGGTTTGCTATTGGGCAGATTGTACGACGAGCTTCAAACAGGAAACCAGCACCTGGTGCTAAAGGAGATGCCAAGGGTGTCCCAACACAGTTGTGGGATGGAATAGTATCAATCATCTTAGTGGAGGGAAAGAAAATGATTCCTATGGATGATTCAGGTAAGTTAAATCTTTAGTCTTTTGACTTTACACAAGATAGCAGATTATAATATAGTTCTGTAATTCTTTATACATTGATACATTGACAGCAAAAGATACCTGTTTACTGCATCTCTGTCAGTGTTATTCTGATTAAAACTCAAAAGTAGCAAATAATGACAACTACCTTTCAAAACAGGTCTCAGTGATCCCTACTGCAAATTCCGTCTTGGGAACGAAAGGTACAAGAGCAAAGCTTGCAAAGAAACTCTTAACCCTTACTGGGCTGAGCAGTTTGATTTGAAGTTCTATCCAGATACCCCAATGGTGCTAGAGCTAACAGTGTATGATAGAGACATCAGGAAGGATGAATTCATGGGAAGGTAAGGGTTGAATGTTTTGAATATACAAGCATAAGACAAGTGACTTTTAAAGTGCACATGAACCCTTCGACAATACTTTCAGTACTGATTCTACA